AAAAAAACACTACTATGGACTGAACGATGCGAACCACTTGTGAGTTCGACCTGTTAAACCTGGAACTCGACTACTAAAGTCTACTAGGTAAGGCTCGTTAGACTAGAAAAAAATTATTTTTTCTTACATAATTATAAATTTTTTAATATAATTGAGTTCATTGATGGTCGAATTCCACTCGTTAAGGCTTGTTAACGAGCCAAACTCAAGCTTATTTTTCAACTCAATTTGATAAAGAATCGATCTCTAGTATCATGAGTTTTATGCTCATGTCGGCTAATTTCTCCACTACCAAGTAGGGCTGCAAATGAACTGAGGGACTCACGATCGCTCTAGTCAAAACTCAGCTCGAGCCAAGTGTTGATGTCGAAAATCAGATGATCAACGAACCACTATAAGTCGAATATCTTGTAACAATCTGAAGAACAAGACTATTAAAATGGTATGTTTATTTCTTCTTTTTGGAGAGAAAAATGTTATTTTGTTGTTGTTGGAGGAAGGAGAAGGAAGAATGAGGAGAGTCCCCTCTCTCCTCTCTCTTCTCACCTATATATACATGGTTAAAAAAGGTAAAAAATAATACATTATCTCTCTATGCGAAGTGACAACGGAGGGTGGGGGCACTTATGTCTTTTGACAGCTTCGATGGACGTCTACTTTATCGAAAATCGTAGTATTTGTGTCATCTGATTACTCGGGATTCCCCTCAGCTCGGCAGAGGGCAAAGGCGCGTGGGGATGCAGTCGGCTTCTTAGGCGATTAGTCTTGAGAACATGTTTATATATTTATTTATCACATATTTACGACACCTCGGTTATTGAGCCGTTCTTTATTATTTTATTTATTTAATCGTAGCCAAATTGGATATCAACACCGAGTTTGACCGAATTCGAGCCGAGCTCAAGCGACTTGATTCTCGAACATGTTATCGCTTCGATCTCGATCATTGGTTTTGGAATGTCCAACCGCACACGAGCGACTCAAGATATTAGTGAGTTACTAAAATACCTTTATATATAAATGTTATAATATTTTATATATGTACTTCATGATAATTTTACTTGAAATTTGAGTTGATCTCGAGCCGAGCTCGAGCGATTGACTTTTTTTGTCGAGCCAATCTCGAACGTCGAAAACCGAGCTCGAGGTAAAAA